GCTAGTGCATTATGCTATACACACCAGTACAAAGCCTTAGCTACACCTATATAAAATAAAACTTTGGCTACTTATAACACTAATATTGGTGTTGGAAAGCATTTCCAAGAGTGAAGTTGTCTTTTGTCCTACTTTATGGATTCTGCTTATACAGTGATCATTTGTGCTACTAAAGAAGAGATATTACAGACAATGTAAAAGTATATGAGTTACACCCTTTTAATTCTGATTATTCCATTTCCCAATAAGCATTAAAATCAAATGCTTATTAGAGATGCTTTCCAAGGCTGTTTCAGTGCAGTTCAGTACTGAAATGCAGCATCAATTGTTTATTTTTTAGGAGCAAAAAATGGCTGCAATAATCCCCAGTGACAGGCTGTAAAAATATAATCAGAAACAATACAATTACACTACTAGAAGTCTGGAAAATCTTGAACTTCCAGTGTCACAAATGAAAGTTTATTGTAATATCACGCGTATTAGCTCGTAAGAGTATCCCCCATCAGTTAGCAACTAAAAATATGGTAGAAATGCCCAGCCCTAGCCCCAAGGCTACCTTACTTTCAAATGCAGCAAAACAAGAAAATATTGTTTAAAGTTAAGGCACAGCCCTGGGACCAAAGACCTGCAGCTTTTTAAATTGATATATCTTTGTGTATTTTATACTTTTCTTGATTCTTCCATAAACGAGCTCTAAGGTGACATTGAATATATTACAGGAGAAAAAATGTACAAGGAATATGTATACACAATAATCATTCTCTCACCAAGAGTTTCCAAATACAGCAACACCACCCTGACAAGGATGATGTTATAATAAGAACTGATAATTTACAATTAACATTACAGTATGTACATTACAATAAATACATGGTTGTAAACAGAGACAAACAAGACTGTATTACAGGTAAGGTCATTTGGTGAGAAAAATGCATGGCACAAAAATAAATAATGTGTTTGAAAAGAATTGTCAAAGCTTTCTAAAAAATCCATTTCATTCAAGTTTCTTAAACTTCTGAATGCTATTTGTTCTATCTATAGTCTTTCATTATCATTTTTAATGACACAAAACAATTAAAGAATTTAAATACAGCATTACTGAGTACAGCAACTTGCAAGCTAAAGTGTACTGTTATAAAGAAGGTGATTTTTCTTTTTTCCTCCCGCTCAATACCCACTCACTGCATTTTCTTATGGCAAAAATATTCACAACACATAAAGCCACTTGTAAATTGTATTGTTTTAAAGCAGTGTACAATGCTAAAACACACTTTGGCAAAAGAGGAAAAAAAAAGATTGTACAGTGCATTATATCCCCAACTCTAAGAAATGATATCATTTTCTATGATTTGATTGTCCACATATATACGTGTATATCTCACAATATGGTCTTATGCTTATTTACTTTCATTTAGTGCAGATACAAAACCTTCCAGGTCCTACTGGTTATTCTGGAATTTATATTGCTTTTCCATTTCTGAGGTTCCAGGCACTCTTGGGGACCGAAAGGATTTTTAGATGGATCAGGTTCAGGAAGAAATGATGAAGAAAATAAGATTTAAAAAAAAATAGTCAAAACACGAAAAATAAAATGCATGAGTTCTCTTCATTCTTTTTCCTCCTTCAGCATTTTCTGTGCTAAGGGTAGAGAAAACTATGGCCTGTATATAGAAGAATGCAAAATGCATGTAAAAGCTGAATTATTACTCTGTTGGTTTTAAACAGATTTTTTTTTCTAGATCTGACATTTAAAAAGCCCCTGTATTCATATCTGCAAGTCAGCTACAAAATGAATCCAAAGGGAAAACAATGGCTCTTGCTATCTTCTTTTGTGAAGAAATTATCTTGATATTGTAATTTAAACAGAATTTTACCATGTGCAAGCCTGCTAGCCTCCCCAAGCAACTATTTCCCATGTTTTACACTCAAACCTACATTTTTTTACGAAGAGTGAAGTGGAGGAAATAAAATTCCTTCTTCTTTCATGTCACTAAGTAACAGGACTGGAAAATGACAAATACAAACTCCTACCTCCCTTTAGCTTTCCAAGTTACAGAAGCTTTCAGTACCAATAAAGCTGAAAGGCAGGATTCCCTTAGCACTAGCTGGATAAAGGTTGAAAAGACCTAAGACTGAAATAACATGAAGTAAACTACAACTCTGAGGATGCATTGCTTATTTACTTAAACACATAGAAAGAGAAGACCAGCCTGGCTCTTCTTGCAACAAAGACATGAAAAAATAATACTAATCATTATTTTTATATTGTACACATCTCAGATTAGCAAATGGCTTAACTAGGTAGCTACTCAGATAAAAAATTCCTAAGAGAGTAAAAATTGGAAATATTACACTAATGCTTTTTTTTGCCAGAACACATATTCCATACATTTTAGTAGCCTGTTCTGATTTAGCAGTCAATAGCTCCCAGCCAGAAATAGTCTGAAAAACCATGTTTCAGAGGAACAAATTTCATTAGTATAGCAAAAGAACTGCTTTTGTATAGATTACAATTCATTACCCTTCTTACAGGCTCTGGTCCTGCAAATCCTAAGATTAGTGGTCGCTGTTGGTATCACTGGGACCACTTCTTGCAGCCAAACAGAACTGGCAGGATCTGGCCACTATGAAGGCAAAATCACTACATAAGTCCACTAATACATTTGGGAAAATTGTGCTAAAAAGCAAATAAACAAAGAACTATCATGCTGAATAAGTTATGTAACACAAAGGATATTCATGGAACTCACTAATATATAAAATAGACTTTAACAGCTCAATCTTACCATGAGATTCTAAGGTGCAAAAAAAAAGAAGTAATGGAAAAAAGACCCTAGAAGTATTATCCAGTGTAGCAAAGATCTGTACTGAAAACTTGCAAGTTACCCTTTGGGAAAAAAAACCAAAACAGTGGCAGATGAAAATGGTTTTTTTTGTTTTGTTTTTTAAATACAACACCTTGGTATATTTAATAAAAGTAAGCTCTACAAAAGATCTCTCTTTCACATATTATACAAAATGGAGAGGCTAGTGTAACTCACTGGGTCACACTTTTTTCAGTCATGTCTCAGGAAGACTTGAAATTAGAAAATTATGCAATTTTCACTGCTCATCTTCCTGTTGGTAACAGAATCATGTTATGTCCCATCACTTATGTTCATTTGTTTTCCAGTAGGAACCTCAGTTTGTTTTCTGTCTGTTTCCTCTCAAGATGAACATTATCCAATGCTTTGCCTGTGAAATACAATGAATTCAATAACTAACAAAGCATATCAACATTCAGTTGGTACGTGGTACTCCTCTGAAAACATTTGCCTTATTTAATCAAATCTGCCAAAGGGAGAGCTTATTAAAATGTAGTTTATGGATATTCTCCCCCTGCTTTCTGATGCCATGGAGGTGAAAATTCTGGATACATTATTCCTGAGTTCCAAACTGAGTTATCAACATCAGTTTTGATCAACAATCGTCCTGGCAGATGACAGCGAGTGATGTCATGGTTGTAGTATATGACAAACACTTTGGAAACCGTTACTTAAATTAAAAAAAAAAACCGAAACAGATCCAAAATAAAACAAAAAATCAAACAAACAACAAAAAAAAACCAACAGAGAAAGAGGAAAACCAAGGGAGAGAGCAAGAGAGAGAGAGACTGCATCTTCATTGTTATGTATCAGGAGAATGTTCTTCTACCACACAAGGTTCTGTCTGGTTGTCCTCCTCTTCTACTTCTTCCCCTACTTGCTCATCAAGAGGAATTTCAGTGGATTCTGAATCCTGGGTGCAAAGAGTCTTGGAGTCACTGCAGCTGGTGTCTTCTTCTACTTGACTTCCACTGTCCTTTTCGGTGTCTGACTCACCATCTTCTTCCAGTGTTAGTTCAAACTGGAATTTTTCAGTTTGACCCTGCCTTCCCTCTTCCTGGTCATCAGGTGCAGGAGAGGGACTTCGAGGGATTGTGCTCTGGTACCATTCTCGATTGTCCTCCAGTGTATCTAAGATGTCCTGGGCATCTGGGTGAACAAGATCTGCCCATGTCTCCCACAGAGGATGAACAATGTAGTCTATAAAACCCACCTGTTTCAAATAATACAAAATTATGATGAGCTCTTATTCACAAAGAAAAAATAATTACGCCTATAAGTTAGTCAAAGTATGAGAAATATAATGCTAGTAAGAGACACTATCCTAAGGCATTACCCTTAAAGATGGCTGAAATGAAACCATACCAGTTTATGTAGTTAATAAGATCCTTTACAATTCAAGTCTGATTCAGAATATTGGATAAGGACTGGCAAAAGATTTGTTTTCAAATGAACTGTTCATTGCAAACAATTCCACTGCCTCTAGTGAGCCAAACAGCTGCTTTATATTTAATTCTGGTTTTGAAGGAAACCCTAACTAGCGGCTGTACAATAATCTCTTTTGACGTGTATGCTGCATTGCAGGTCACGACAGTGATGGAATCCCTTCAGCAAACACTGCCATGCACTCTGTTTTCACAGTAAAAATTTCACTTCCCCTCGCTTATTGCTCAGGAGCTGAATTAATTAACTCAGAGGAAGAAGAGGAAGTAGTGCATTCTGATATTAATTGAAACATGGCTATGTACCATCCTTTTCTGTTAAAATGTTCAACTGCCTACTCAAATTCATTACCTGTGATTTTTCTACGGATGCATTGTGCTTATCACACATGGGACTTATCTCCATTCCCCTTTCTCTTTCCCGATCTCCTTGACGGAAGAATTCCTCCATTATTCTGTCTGTCCACTGACGATAGAGATGGAGTGGCTTGGTTGGATTGCTTAGATCTGCACAGTGCACCATATTCTGAAGAACCTAAAATAGATTGAAAACATGTGGTGTTATTACACTGGAGAACAGCAGCTCCTTTTCCATTTACACTTCTGGTAACTGTAAAACAGAATCTTGAATATACATGTAGTGCAAGATTTATTCTAAACAGCAAAAACTTATGTCCTGGGTGGTTTTCACACTTGCAGTAATAGCCAAGAATTATCTTACTTCTGCTGCTTCTGCCTGTGCAAAGGACAGAAAATCTTTGTGAGGAAGAATCACATGCTGATAATTTGAAGGGAAGGCCAAAGCTTCATTGGGTCCAGAACTAGTCTAGCACCTTTCAACTCTCTCAGAGTCACTCAAACCATGTCACAGGGAGAAAGGAGAGGGAAGAAGTGAGTCATGTGAGAATGGACAGCTCATCTAATGCCATGCTAGAGAATGGGGGGCCCAATGTTACTATGTAAGTTAATACAAGTAACCATTTGCAGGTGAATTTACTTACCTGAATCCTGTCTGAATAGTTATCAAGAAGTAGGACACCAGAACTGGTCACTTTTTTAGTTTCAACCATTGTTTTTAAATCAGCTAATAGATTCATATGCTTAGACATATCTGTTGCAAGAACCTTGAAAGAAAGAAACAAATAAATGAGCACTGTGTAAATTATTCTAATGTTTTATGATAAAAGTCTGAGTCCTGTATGTCATTAGTGTCCAAAATAGTAGATTTTGATTTCAGTTCTTTTAAGAATATGAAAAAATTATTGTTCAGAATTGTTCAGAATGATCTGATCAGCCTAAATTCAGTATCAACTCAGTAGCAAATTGCTAACTGTGATGGTGAAATGTCAGTACTAAACCAGCTTGAAACAGAATTTTATGCCTTCTAAAATGGTGTAGACAGTTGCTGAAACTTAAAAGATCCCACTATTCATGCTTGGATAAGACACAATAAAACTTCAAACTTTTACTTCATTGTTTATGGGTCTAATGACATACAATTTATCATGAAATGCTTCTGTGCCTCATTATTCAGTTTCCTAGCTCTATGCAAGACAGTCTCAAACAAAACTCACAATGTCAATGACCATTTTCCTCAATGATTGCCTCTGTTTTTTGGTTAAATTCTGGAAAATGTCACAGTTTTCTTCCTGCAGCAGCTTGAAACCCACAGCTAAGTGATGATTCTCCAGTACTGATGAGTCATTGTACATCAAGGCGAGTTCAGAATCTGCAATAACAATTACAGGGCATAATGTTACTAAAGCCTGTGCTTCTATAAAATCCCTTAAGATTTTTTCAAATTCATTATATTCATAACAAGATTTGCAGATAACTTTTAGAAACAGAGTTCTTGTAGTTCAAACAGTTTAGAAAGTTACAGAATTAATGACTGAACACCTTAACAGATCAAGGCAAAGTATGTTGAGGAAAATAAAGCAAACACTTAGCAGTGACGCAGGTACATATAGCAAGTTAGAAAATATACAAGGAAGGTAATTTTCAGAATAGATTTTCATATCTGCATGATGTCACTTGGAAAATATTATACACATAACATACGCACATGCACACCTCAACTAAAACACACTCTGATTTCTCTTCTCATGCCTCCCTCCATCACAACTCCTAAAATTCTATTGTTAGCTAAGTTGCAGCAATCCAGCCCTCAGACCTGGGAATACACAGCTCAGGCTTCGCTGCAGGTCAGGGAGAAAGCACACATCTTGGTTGTCAAATCATGTCTTACTGCAGTTAGCTAAGACACTCAGATGCCTAGCCAGCTAGCCCTACAGTCATTAGTGCATGACAACTGGATATGTGGAGAGAAGACTGGTAGTCTGGTAACAGCTATGCTTCTGATCTTTTTCTAGTGACATCACGTGTCTTGACAATGCAAGCAGTGGCCTAGCCTGCTACCTCGTGCTTGAGATGATCAGTGCCTGATGCCATTCACAATGCTGTCTTCTCCAACAGAAGTATTCTTAACTTGGTCACCCCATATGGCTGTGAGAATAATGTACACTTTCCCAGCCATGTCCGTGCTCCAGCACACATG